CAGTGTTAGCAGCAGTGCCAGCATTGGTGGTGTGTAAGCATGGTCGAGCGGGTGTGGCATCAGCAATGGACAGGCTCCTCCCTGAATGGCAGCCCGAGGGCTGAGGCTTACATTAGCCTATTTACAATTTTTCCATTCCTATAGTCATAGTTTTATACATCTTTATTTTCCATACTAATAATTATTGACATTCATAAACTTATTTTCCCTCTCATTTCTACCTCTCATCTCTATCCATTCATAAAATTTATTCCATGTCTGATCATGTTTCGAGTCTTCTTCATCTTTAATTTGTAAGGTTAATCTATCCATTTCAGCACAATCCCAAATTTTCCTAATTATATCCTCATCCAAAGGAATGTTTACGTTTTCCCAGTGTTTAGCATATATAATTCTTGCTGCCATCAGTATATGCAACACTACAATATTTCCCTGAAAATAAGGCAGTGTCTTGTTTTCTTTTGACCCCCGAAATAAGCACTTGGCCTTATTTTCGGGGAGGTCTTATTATTTTTGAGGTACAGAAGGCGGTGAGCATGGTCACCTGATGGCTGCTGCTGTATTGCAATATTTTTGGGGAGGGCTTATTTTCAGGGGAGGGTTTATTTTAGTGCATGCGCTAAAAAGACCGATTGAACTTATTATCCGGGGAAGTCTTATTTTCAGGGAAACAGGTAAGTATATGGTTGCTTTATCATAACTTTCCGATAGTATATCTAAGAGTCATGTTTCTGATTTAAACTCAATATGTTGCTCAGTTATCATTTCCAACCAATTATGAATTTCCCCCCAATAATTCCTTGCTTTACTACACCTCCACCACATGTGGGGATAGGTTCCTAGGATCTGGTTGCATTTCCAGCATTTGGTGGAGGAATTCTTATACATTTTTGCCAATCTTGCAGGTGGCAGATGCCACCTGTAGTAACATTTTATAGAGGTTTTCTTTATAGGCTGAGGCCATCATCAATTTACAGTTTCTATCCCAAATTTGTAACCATTTATCTAATTCTATATTGTATCCGGGCAATCATTGTTTCTTTAACTATTTCTTCCTCCATTTTATAATTCAGTAAATAATTACATATTTGTAATCAATTATTCACCCGTCTCCATTAAAATTTTATCCAACGCTGTTTGTTCTTTATTTTCACCCCATATTTAACATCTTTTTTTGTACCTTGAGTGAATCTGAAAATATGGCCACCAAGATAAGCCCATCCCCTTCGGAACATTTCTGTTTGTTGCCATTTGATCATGTGATCTTTTCGACTATTTTTTTTTTAAAAAAATTCACTAAGGAAAATTCACAAAATTCACATTTCACGTAGAGTAGAAAGCTTTTGCACCTGAGCGAATATCCTTTGATTGGAAAACATTTCTGCATGAGATGAAGCCATTCTAACCTATTTACGCTCAGTTGTAAAAATAAATTTTCACACATTCTGCTTTTAGCAAATATAAATATTCAATTCCCCTATATTTTGCAGTTCGTAAATTTTACCCTAAAATCTTTTTTTGGGGTGGGTGGGTGGATGGGCTTAAATTCACCTTTTTCTGAACACACTATTCCAAAGAGATACGTCCCCTAGTGAAAATTTGTGTGCAAGCTTTTATTTATTTATTTTTTTAAAAAAAAACTGGTTTAGCTATACTGATGTGCAAAATAACAAACCAGTGTGATTTACTAAAAAAATAGGTTGTGGGGTAATTTGTATCAACAGTTAGATAAATTAGGAGAAGATGTACAGGAAGTTTCTGTTACAGGGTACAAACTATTTCTAAACTATTTTTCTTACGTACGCTTGGAAATCTCTAATGATGATTATTTGTTTAGCGTATGGCACAGATGTCTCAAACTCAAGGCCTGGGGGCCAGATCCAGCCAGGGGGCTCTTTAGATATGGCCCATGGATCTGCCCTGGAAATAGCAAAGGACCAGCCTGTGGTGTCTCTGGGATAATGCGTAGCCTTGCCCCACAAGTCCATTTTCACTGGCAGAGTTGCAGGAGGCTGTCATAGCTGAAAATGGAGCTTGGGACCCCGTTACCTCTGGCAAAGCGTTCAGACCACCACAGGCACCCCAGACACGAGTGATGTCAGGCTGGCCACACTCATCCTGGCCACACTTCCGCCGGCTCCCCGAGGTCAAACACAATCCTGATGCAGCCCATAATGAAATCGAGTTTGACACCCCTGGGTTATGGCATATAACACACGGACTAGCAATATAAATTAACCTTTCAACTAGATTAGTAGAACCCGATAGCATATAAATGTCAAACAGATCTATGTTCAATTATCAAGGCCATCTAACTATTGAAATGCAGCATTGTTTTGTTGTGGCCTGCCAGCGGTCAGCAGATCTGGAAGCAGATTCGGACATTGAGGAGGCTGGGAAGGAATATAGGCCAGCCCTGGAGTCTGGGGAAGGCTCTGATGAGGGCTCTGTGTCGGAGGCAGAGAGGGAGCCAGAGCCATCTGACTGTTATCAGCTGCCTTCAGAATCGGACATCAGTGAGGCAGATGAACAGCTGGAGCCTGTTCCCCCTATGCACATGTGCAGAGTTGCCAGACAAAGGGAGCAGCTAAGAACAAGGGTCGACTTGGGAGTAAGGCCATAGGTGGACACTTAGTGGCCCCTCCCATAAGGAATAAAAGAGGCATGAAAGGGGAGTGGAGTTTGCAGGAGACAATTAGTTCTTTCTAGCATTTCAGTCAAGTATTGTGGCATCTGAAAGATATTGGCCTGGCCACTCTCCAAGCCTGAGGTCGGTAATTGTGAACTATATTGAAAGGCTATGGGCCGGGATTTTGCTGGAGAGGAATTCACTGTAAATTAAATAAAAGGGGTTTATGGGATGAGCACTTGGCTTCGTGATGCGGGGGAAGCCTAGGGCGCTCTGCCCATGTACACACTGGGAACAGGCTCTAGCTGTTCATCTGCCTCAGTGATGTCTGACTCTGAGGACAGCTGGTAACTGGCATATGGCTCTGGCCCCCTCTCTGCCTCCGACACAGAGCCCTCATCAGAGCCTTCCCCAGACTCCAGGACTGGCCCATGTTCCTCCCCTAACCTCCTCACTGTCCGTCTCTGCTGCCAGCTCTGCTGGCTGCTGTNGAACAATTTTTGAAACCCACCACTGGCTTAGATCTTAAAAATGAGAAATTTAATCATTTGTTTTCCATCCTATCATTTTCCCTCCTAGTACAGGGTCCACTTTTATTTTTGTATCCACCAAATGTTGATCAATTGGTTGTGACAGAATCAACCAATTGACGTTGTCCAGCCCAACATCCTATGTAAGTTAACCAGATTTCATGGCTAAAGCAGGACAAGAACTCACTACATCTTGTTTCTAGGTTCATCCCTGAACCAGTAGAGTGAACTGGCTCTCTGTTGTTTTAATCTAATTCATCAGACTCATATTGTCCAAACTAATGGAATCTTTCTCCTTCTCTGTCTCTCTTTGTCTGTGTCTACAATGGCAGGCACATTAAAATTTGCACACACATATAAAGAGAGTATAATGACAGCAGAGGTGAGAGACATATTTACTTATATCACAGAAAGAGACCATTAACAAAACATTAACTCTGAATTACCCAGATGTTCTTGCTACTAAATAGCTGCATTTAAGAAATGTCATTATTTACTAAATCTGGGATATATTAAATCTCCCAGTGCATTCCGATTCAACTATATCCACAATGAAACTGGTCTTCGTCATTATTATTTTTTCTCAAGGACACCTTGAAATTGGGGTATTTTTTGGACCCGTTGGACACTATGGATTTATAGCCAAAAAACAAACAAATGGACAATAAAAACAAAGGACAAAGCAACAACGTGCCTTAATCTTAATCTTTTTTTCTCTGCCATACGGATGCCACCTACACGGATTTCTTTTTGGCAAAATCACTTAAAATTTCAATTTCCAATTTTTGTGAGTATTTTTTAGGGGGCATAAAACACTTAAATGCTTCTCTTTGTTAACATTGTGTCAAAACATGGTAGTGTTTTATTATAATTTTACTTTATTCAAAATAACCTACACTCAAAGGGATCAAGGTTGCATTATTTTTGGTCTATGGATAACCTACGTTTTTTTTTTAAAAAAAAACCATGTACGGAGTTCAGTGGTGAGAAAAATAGGATCCTGCACATAGGGAAGAAATAACAGTTGCACAGATACAGTACAAGACAGGCAGTACTTGGCTCAACGTGGCTCAATCTGTCTGGGTGTCCCAATGGACCACCACTTAAATATGAATCATTATCATGCTACAAGTGTCAAAAAACCCAATACAGTCCTGTTGTGGCCCAGCAGGAGCCGTTGGAGCTGCCACCAGACTCCGNACTCTGAAGGCAGCTGATAACTGGCATACGGTCCTGGTGCCCTCTCTGCATCCAACACAGAGCCCTCCCCAGACTCCAGGACTGGCCAATGTTCCTCCCTCCCAACCTTCTCACTGTCCGAGTATGCTGCCAGCTGTGCTGGCTGCTGGAGGGCCACAACAAACAAGGCCATCCATATTTTCACTAACTCCCCTCATCATATTTTTTAGCCTGCTTTTATGATAACCATCCTCTTCCCACAGAGCTCTTTTAGGTTCCGATTCATATTTTTTTGTTGTTGAGTGGGGCTCAAGAAGAAGTCTAACAAAGCAGGTAAACTAATCGAACCCTGATCTAATTGCATTCTCTTTTCACGTGCCCTGGGGAATGTATAATTAATCCCAGGTGACAATTCCGAGGCATATATGGTGCAAAATTGATGAAAATCTCTCTCCTGGCCATTCTCGTGCCTCGCCGCGATATTTAGAATTGGGGCAGCCTTCTCGGACTGGTGTATTTCAGTTCTGCAGAGATAAACCTGCATGCGTGCAGCTCATAGAATCAGAGGGCTGGAAAGGGCCTTGGAGGTCTTCTAGCATAGTTTAATTCTGCACATCAAATTTCCTTCCAGAATTAGGTTTTTGCATCACTGCTTAGCTCACCTTGGGATAGAGCACAGGTTGAAACTTTAATCCCGTGGCGTCATCGCAGAAGGCCTGTTTGGAAATGCAGCAAATGGTGAGTGAGAAACTAGGCGCTCAAAGACATAGCAGTTTACAAACAGGGGGGAAGTCAAAGATAATACAAAATGAGCAAAATCACTTTCTTTGTTGTATCACAAATGCGGAATACATCATGACATTGATTTAAGCCAATGAAGGAATAGGTGGGGCTCTGGGAGACAGCAAAACCCTTCTAAATTTTCCCCAACCTAAATATTTTTCGATGATAATAACTTGCCTTGTTGTTGTTGGTGTTGTTGTTGTTGTTGTTATACAATTGT